AGAAGCCCTGCCAGAAACCCAGGGCCATGTTTTGGGGGGATCCTGTCTCTTCTAGAGGACATTTGTACCCAACCCCTTTCCCCAAAGCAAAATGCTCAAGGTACCTTTTTTTATCACATTCCACCTGTCAGCCTTACCAGGTAGACCCGACAGGAAACGTGACCAGGTGGGCTAAACTCCATGAACAGAATCTTGCAAATCTGAAAGTACAAATCTGCCCCCGTCTCCTTTGCAGCCTGAGAAACTGGGGAGGGTCCCTCCTGAGCGTCTTTCTCCATCCGTTATGCAGCTCTGGACCAAGCAGTCTCTTATCTGATCATTCCTAGGCGGCATCTCTTCTCCGTGAGTTCTTTCTCATGTCCCATTACACCTCGCATGGAGAAAGGCTCGAAGCGTGGCAAGGAAGGAAACCTTTTGAGCACCTCCCCAAGCACCGTTGCACCGTACCGTTGCAAGGAGAAGCAGAAAGGGAGACAAACCAGTGTGGCCTTCCTCCCTTTTCAATTTTACCTATGACCAGTGGTGGAATTCAGAAAATTTTACTACTGGTTCTGTGGCTGTGGCTTGGTGGGCGTGGCAGGGGAAGGATATACTGCAAAATCCCCCTTCCCTCCCCACCTCACGAACCTGCTTTCCAGCTCCGTTCTCCTGTGCAGGGAAACCAAAGGAGACCCAGACGATCAGCTGGGACTCGGGAGCAGAGAATAGATGGGGTTGGCGGGGCCAGTCAGAGGTGGGATTTGCCGGTTCTCCGAACTACTCAAATTCCGCTACCGGTTCTCCAGAACTGGTCCAAACTGGCTGAATACCACCTCTGCCTACAGCTGGTTTTTTTATCAGTCTTTTGACATTTCATGTAACTCATAAATCTTTACCTGTCTTAAGACAATTATTTGAAGTAGGAGTGTCCAGTGGTGTGGCCAAAACAATGTTAAGCTGATGCAACATACCTCTTTCTGGTTCTTACGTTGCCACGCACCCTCCTGATACCCTTAATCTGAAGAAAATAATCCGTCTTGCAAACCGTAAACTATGGATTGATCGATTCAGGTCGTTCACGGTGCACAAGTGACTGCAGCCTCATGTTTACCTAGAGATCAGAGGCTGTGGAGCTTCTTCGGCGGCTTCTGTCAGAAACCATTAGTAACAGGGTGTTGCCTTTAGGCATTTCCGTAATTACTGCTCTCCGTTAACGAAGCTCGCATCATCCCTAGCTGTCAGGTGTCTGACACATTTCCAGTCCTTTGTGCTTGTTGAGATGCTAGACTTCGCAAATCTTCTGCTTCTGTGAAAAAGCACACCCCAAGTCCTGATGTTTCTCCTGGCTGCTCTCTGCTCTTTTTCGCCGCACGCGGCGTTTGGGTTTGTTGCTTGCAAATTTGAACCGCGAGAAAATGAGCAGGCCAGTTTTTGCAAGCTGGAAACAAAACCTGCACTATTATTTGGTCTTCTCATCTGTTTCCAGCTTCTCTGGAGTAAGGATGTGTGATCTAGCTCAGTGGTCGCCAACCAGCGGCCCAGGGACCACTGGTGGTCTGTGAGGAAATTTGGGTGGTCCACAGAGAAATGTCACCCCCAGAGCAATTAATCCAGGCTGCGTGGGAACAGAAGGCTTGCGCTGTCTACAGGGCCTGTGGGAACACAAGGCTTGCGTCGCTTGCATTGTGAACAACACGAGGTAGTTGTTCTGGTGTGCAATGGTCTATAGCGTCGTTTTGAGGGAAGGAGTTGAAACAGTTTACGTCCGGGATGTGTGGGGTCTGTAGATATTTTCACAGCCCTCTTTTTGACTCGTGCAGTAGACAGGTCCTCCATGGAAGGCAGGTGGGTAGTAATTAATTTTTTTTCTGCAGTCCTAATTCCTCTCTGGAGTCTGTCTCGGTCCTGTTGGGTTGCAGAACCAAACCAGACAGTTCTAGAGGTGCAGATGACGGACTCCATCGTTCCTCTGTAGAACTGGATCCGAGAAAAGAAAGAGTAGGGGGTGACTTAATAGCAGCCTTCCAATATTTGAGGGGCTGCCCCAAAGAAGAGGGAGTCAAGCTATTAGGCAAAGCCCCAGGAGGCAGAATAAGAAGCAACAAATGGAGACTCAACAAGGAGAGAAGCAACCTTGAGTTAAGGAGAAACTTCATCACGGTGAGGACAATTAACCAGGGGAACAGCTTGCCACCAGAAGTTGTGGACGCACCATCCCTGGAGGTTTTAAAGAAGAAATTGGACAAGCATTGGCTGGACTAGAGGACCTCTAAGGTCCTTTCCAGCTCTATTATTCTGTGTTCATCTTGGAAGCCAACATGGCTGACCACCTGCTCTTGAAATGTCCCTCCTCCTGCGGTCTTCTGAATGGTCACTCCAGTTCCACTCTTGGAGTGGTGAACCAGCTGTCCTTTGCACCCGGTTATTTCTGGCTGGATGGCCCAGCAGATGACCGATAGCTTGTTTGACCTCTGTTGGGGTGGCTCTTTCCACAAGGGCAAGATCGCGTCCCCGAGTCCTGCCTCACTCCATCTCCCTTTGCCCGGAGATGGATTTCCATAAAAGCTTTTTAAGTGGCTGCAATTCTGCCCCTCTGGGTTTTTGTTGTGAGTCGTTTAATGTTGTTGCTTTAGCCTGAGTCCCCGTTTGGCCTGGAAATCTAGCATCCGAGAAGGGGGAGTGTCTAAGTTGTGAGATGCTGGAGGGTGTGTGTGTGTGTGTGTGTTTAAGTTTCTCGATTTCTTGAGAAAAGCAGAAGGTCTCAAAATGTGGAGTTGCGAGTCTCGAAGCTCTGGAGCAAGGGTGTCCAACCTTGGCACCGTTAAGACCCGCAGACTTCAACTCCCAGAATTCCCCAGCCAGCCTGGGAGTTGAAGTCCACCAGTCTTAAAGGTGGCAAAGTTGGACAGCCCTGCCCTAGACCCCCACACGGCCAGTGCCGGCTCTGTATCTGATCACGAGAGCTTAGACTTCTGGAGATGAGAAGAATTTGAAGTTCAGCAGGTCACCTGTTTGAAAAGCCCCCAGGAAGCATTTGTGTGACTTTGGACAGTCTTTGGTCCCAATTTTCCATTTGGAACCATCCACTCAATGAGATGTTTGTCCATTCTTCCATCACTGTGGGTTCTCCTCTTTTAGGAATCCTTTCCTTTTCCTTTTCCTTTTCCTTTTCCTTTTCCTTTTCCTTTTCCTTTCCTTTCCTTTCCTTTTCCTTTCCTTTCCTTTCCTTTTCTCTTCTCTTCTCTTCTCTTCTCTTCTCTTCTCTTCTCTTCTCTTCTCTTCTCTTCTCTTCTCTTCTCTTCTCTTCTCTTCTCTTCTCCTCTCCTCTCCTCTCCTCTCCTCTCCTCTCCTCTCCTCTCTTCTCTTCTCTTCTCTTCTCTTCTCTTCTCTTCTCTTCTCCTCTCCTTTCCTTTCCTTTTCCTTTCCTTTCCTTTCCTTTCCTTTCCTTTCCTTTCATTTTCCTTTCTTTTCCTTTTCCTTTTCCCTTTCCCTTTCCCCTTTCTTTTCCTTTTCCTTTTCCTTTTCCTTTTCCTTCCCTTCCCTCCTTTTTACTGTTTGCAGTGGTGTTTTAAGAGCAACAGAAGGAACGGTGGCTTGGCAGCCAGGTTCCTTCCCCAGTAGCCATTGTTCAGATTTGTTCGCAACAACCAACCAAATGCACACAAGGTGTAACAAAGAGGTCAACGAAGGAAGGTCACTAGCAAACGATCGCCTTTCCCTTTTGGAATGGGTCGGTGGATGGAAGCTTTTTATTATTTGAAATGCTTCTGTTTCTCTGCTGAAAAAGGGAGTTGATCACGTTTGTAAAATTTGGGAAGAGCCGTGACTGGCTCACCCTACTCCTGGCTGTTCTCACTGTGATGAGATCAGTAGCAGCAGAGCGTTCAAAATTATCAAATTTATTTTGCTGTCATATAAACGTGTCCTCCTTTCCACTTTTCCCTGGCATCTTCTGCTGTTTTTATGGTTCAACTGAATTTTAAGTGGCCCTCAAGTCAATGTTGTAAAGTTAATGTCTCTTTCTTAGGCATGTTTTTTTCCCCCTCTCTCAACATTATTAATCTTTTTTTGTTGTTGTTGTTTTTGTTAAGCATAGCTTTCTCTTCTTCTCGTTTGCCTGCCAAAAGAAAAGGTCATTACCGAAGTCTTTTTTACAGTCAATTCATAACTCCAATCTCAGCTTGTCTTTAATTCCCAAAGTGGCAGACACTTTAAAATCACTTACAAAACACAAATGAAAGGGAGGGCGGGAGGGAGCAGGCAAACGGAAGAGCAGGCTTGTTCTATTGTGATTATGATTATTGTTTTAATTGCTTGTTAAGGAGTACTCTCGTGCTTCCCATACTGATAATACATGGACAAGAAACAGGAAAGTATTCCTAATTTCCCCAGGGGCCATTTGGGGGCCTCCGAGATACAGCTGTCAGGGCTCCAACAAACCCACCCCCACTCAAATCATCAGTCTCTCACAGTAAAACAAAATGATTTATTAGGAGTGACCATGTCGGTGTACCTGGGTGCAGCTGACACTAAGATACACCATTAATTTCTCCCGTGAGCCTGGTCTTCCCCACCCCCACCCCCTGGCTGTATATTCTCCAATGGGACACATCCATAGCCAAGAGTCATCAGTCAGGCTCTCCAGTAATAATCTTGTGCGCCAGAAGCTTTGGCCGCCTTGCAATTATCTAAGGAATGGACTACTCCCCCCCAGTCCTTTTCTGCTGGCAATGCTAAAAGACCAGAGAAATATTTTTGAGTTGACATTCGGCTCCCCTCACTTCTTGAAGGTGACCTGTACAAAACAAAAAGGAAACAAATTTATTGCAGGTATAGAACTTAGGGTTGCGAAACACACACACACACACACACACACACACACACACACACACCCTGGTTTGGTTTTCTGCATGGAACCTCATCACAAGGCGATTTATTTGGATGTCCCCCTTTTCAGCCATTCTTAAGTTTTATAATAATTGATATCTATCTACTCATTCATCTATTTCTCTAATGTTCAGAAAAAGAGCCGTGAAGAGACTTGTGGAGAAGGCAGCGGCGTGGAGATTTTGGAAAACCGACCATATATTGATGGCCCAGGAGGCGACGGGCAGTACACTCACAAAGTATACCATATTGGTATGCATATTCCCAGCTGGTTTCGATCGATACTCCCCAAGGCGGCCCTCCGAGTCGAAGAGGAATCCTGGAATGCATATCCTTATACCCGGACGAGGTACCACCCAGCGATTTGCTTGATATGGGCCTATTACTTGGAACCCTGACGGCGAGTTTATAACAACCATGAGGGCATTTGTATGTGAGGGGAAGCCATCATTTTTAGTTTCTTCAAATAAAGTGAGCTTGCTCCGGTTTTGCCACGTTGGCAAAAAAAAAAAGCGCCAAGGTGCTAATAAAATTCTGCGTTACTCTGTGACTCCCGGAGGCCTTTTCATTTATTTTCCTGGCTTTTTCCTTAGGAAAACAGCTGCCTTTATTACACACCGCATATATGTGTGTGAGAGAGAGAGTGTGCGGGTTGGGAGGGCTCTTGACACGTTTTTGAGGCGAAGAGGTTTTGAATCTTAAGCATTTGAGTTGCTCTTTTTCTCCTCCTCCTCCTCCTCCTCCTCTTCCTCCTCCTCCTCCTCCTCCTCCTCCTCCAGGTACACCTGCCCATTTGTGGAGAAATTCTCCATCGATATCGAAACCTATTATATATCTGACTCAGGAGAGCAACCCAACGTGTTCAACCTTTCCCCCGCGGAGAAGAGGCAGACGGTCCTGGGTGGGTGTGAGCCTTTCCTCACATTTTGATTTCTCTCTTATGGTTTGCTAGGGTGGGACAGACAGGTGAGTCCCAGAGCCTAGATTCCAGCTGTGGTTGGCCTTCCTCAGGCCTTGGGAAAATGGGGATAAACCTTGGGAACAATGGCAGAAAATTGGGACGGGATTTGGATTGCTCTCTGCTGTTTCCCATTGGACCCGAGAGAAGGATAAAACATAGGAGGAACGGTTGGCGGCATTGGGTATGTCTGGTTTAAGGAAATGAAGGACTAGGGGAGACAGGATAGCAGTCTTCCAGTATCTCAGGGGCTGCCCCAAAGAAGAGGGAGTCAAGCTACCCTGCAAAGCACCTGAAGGCAGGATAAGAAGCAACAAATGGAAACTAATCAAGGAGAGAAGCAGCTTAGAATGAAGGAGGAATTTCCTGACAGTCAGAACAATTAACCAGTGGAACAGCTTGCCACCAGAAGTTGTGAATGCTCCAATGCTGGAAGTTTTTAAGAAGAGATTGGACAGCCATTTGGTCTGAAACAGTATAGGACAGGTTCTTCTACCTGAGCAAAGGGTTGGACTAGAAGACCTTCAAAGTCCCTTCCAATTTTGTGATTCTGTGATCCTGATAGGAGGAGAGATCTTTTCGCATTGGAAAATCTCTAGTTTTGGTAAAAGTAGAGCTTTTCCAACTAGAATAGGTCTCTTTTTGGTAAAAGTACGAATTGGCCACCTCTGTTGGGCTTAGCCTGTCGGAATCCGGCGTCCTTTTAGAAAGAGGTGGCCATCGTGAGGTCTTCTCCTGAAATGTAGAAGAAGCGCAGCGTCCTTGCTGGCTTCTCCAAGGGAAGTTGAGGCTACCCAGTTTCTGCCAGCCTTGAATAAACTGTTTAAACCAAACCAGCTTTTCTTGTGTAAACAGAAAGAGGTGGAGACCAGGTCTCTACACTCTTATCTAAACACAACAAGCCTTTAGGGGGAAAGGCTATTTGAGGGACAATTTCCTGTGGCTTGCGCGTATTTATTCGGTGTATTTCTCTCTCCCCCCCGCACCCCACCCTGCGTTAGATCCTATCGATATTGTGAAGGATCCCGTCCCACCCCACGAATACAAACCGGAGGAGGACCCAAAGGTCTTCAAATCAGCCAAGACAGCCAGGGGCCCTCTGCCAGAGGACTGGATCCAAGAGCAGAAGAACAACCCTGGGATCTATCCCGTTATGTGTGCCTATAAACTCTGCAAGGTGGAGTTCCGTTACTGGGGGATGCAGTCGAAAATCGAGCGTTTCATCCATGACGTCGGTGAGTCTTTGATTTCGGGGTCTTCACCTCGAGCCCCAGTACTTTTAGGGGAGGGTGGGGGGTCCAGGCATTTCAGGACGGCCTGGTTAAGCCTCCTCCAGATGTGTCCAGATCCTAGAATTTGAGAGTTGTCATCTTGACACACTGGAAGGATCCAGTTTGGGAGAGGGAAGTTCTCAAAGACCGGAGGACCAATGATCCAGAAGAAGAGCGGAAGGAAGCCCAACACGCAGTTCTTCTTCTGACCAAGGGGGGAATGGCTGAAGCCAACTTGGGTTCACCCTTCACGTGCAGACAAGCATTTCAACCTCCAGAATTGTGCAGCTGTGGCCTAGAATTCCAGGGATTGGTCCACACATCTGGAAGGCTGGACTCAAGAGAGGTTATTGCCCAGGGGATTCTCCAGTAGAATCTGCCTCAACTGACTCAAGACGTGGTCTACAGACCCAGGATGAAAGACATCTTGAAACGGAATAAACCCAGAGAGATACATTGCTCAGAAAATGGGGTCCCCAAATAGTCCTCCTCCTCCTCCTCCTCCTCCTCCTTCTGTCTACAAATCCTACTCCCTTCTAGCACTGATGGTGGTACCTAGATTGGTCATGAAACATCTGCAAGAAAACCTCAAAAGTCAGGTAGCACCAAGGACCCCACAGTTTCCTCTTCTTCCTCCTCCTCCTCCTCCTCCTCCTCCTCCTCCTCCTCCTCCTCCTCCCCACCCTCCTCCTCCTGTCTACAAATCCCACTCCCTTCTAGCACTGATGGTGGTACCTCCTAGATTGGTCATGAAACATCTGCAAGAAAACCTCAGAAGTCAGGTAGCACCAAGGACCCCACAGTTTCCTCTTCCTCCTCCTCCTCCTCCTCCTCCTCCTCCTCTTTTCTCTTCATCTTCCTCCTTTCTCTTCCTCTTCCTCCTCCTTTCTCTTCCTCTTCCTCCTCCAACCTACTTTCACAGCTTACAGAAACATCACGAACCTTCTTCCAAGAGTCCAGAATTTCAGGAAGGAAGGATTTATGTCTGCCATGGGAAGCAAACATGGTCTTGAACGGATTGGCGGATGGAAAGTTGTCGTTGTTTGAGAAGCCTGTCTTAACATGAGTTCAAGACAGCAGCTGGTTGAGGATGGCTGGTTTTGGTTTCTCCCCCCAGGTTTACGGAAAGTAATGGTAAGGGCTCATCGGCAGGCTTGGTGTTGGCAGGATGAATGGTACGGGCTCACCATAGAGGACATCCGGCAGCTGGAGAAGGAGGCCCAGCTGATGTTGGCGAAGAAGATGGCCCAGTTCAGCATCAACGAGCCTGATCTAGAACCCCACCTTCCTCAAGACCCCCTCAAGAACGAGCGCAACCTGGAATCCAAGGCCATACCTCCATCCACCGAGGGGGTGGATGCCGCCAGCAATATTGATGAATCTTTGCCGGGGCGAGTGCTAACCAAGCAGTGGTCCACGTCTTCCAAATCCTCTTCCAAAAGAGGAGGTGAGTTGGGCCCCAAAGCCGGCAAAAAGAGAGCTGTGGGACTCGGGGTTCCGTGGTAGCTTTTAGTGTAATTGGAGGACAAAATTGGGAGGGAGTCATCATATGAATTGTGTTGAGTAGAACTCCTCCTCCTCCTTCCCTTCTTCTTCTTCTTCTTCTTCTTCTTCTTCTTCTTCTTCTTCTTCTTCTTCTTCTTCTTCTTCTTCTTCTTCTTCTTCTTCCTCCTCCTCCTCCTCCTCCTTCTTCCTCCTCCACCTCCTCTTCTTTTTCTTCCTCTTCCTCTTCTTCTTCTCTCTCCTCCTCCACTTCCTCTTCTTTTTCTTCCTCTTCCTCCTCTTCTTCTTTTCTCTCCTCCTCCTCTTCTTCTTCCTCCTCTACCTCCTTCCTCGTTCTTCTCCCTCCTCCTGCTCTTCTTCTTCTTCCCCCTCCACCTCTTCTTCCTCCTTCTCCTCTTCTTCTTCTCCCTCCTCCTCCTCCAATTGTTCCTCTTCTTCCTCCTCCTCCTCCTCCTCCTCTCTCTCTCTCTGTTTTACACACACACACACACACACACACCCCTAGCTGCTCTCTCCCATGAGACCAGATCCACCCCTGCAGTAACGCATGACAACAGGTTGAGCTTAGGGAGCGCATGTCCCAACGGGCTCTTTCATCCATCTTGTTGAGCTTGCTCCAGGGGACAGGTGCCCACTAGCGCCTGGCTTTCCTGCTGCCCTGGTGGGAAGGCAGCTCTCCCACCCTCCCACTTTTCCCCCTTGCTGGGGCGAAGACCCCTGGAGCAAGCTCCGGCGGTCAGCCGACCTGATTCCCTCTTCTATTTTTAGCAGCTTTTACACCAGAGCCTTTGACGTCAATCTAGGGTGATTTAGTTGTCCGTCTGCTCCCTGATCCTCCCGGAGGATTTGGGGTGGAATCCGCTGGGAGGATCTACGGAACCCAGGCGGAAACCAGAATGAGTTTGTGATTTATCCCTGAGGAACACGGTAACCTTTCCACAGGACAATTAGTGAAATTAGAGTCCAGAGCAATTGCTGGCAAGGTCAGCTTCTCCTCTGGTCTTGTTCAGATAGGAGGGGATATTTGCAGCTCAGGGTTCAGCTGAGTGGCATCCTCGGGGCTCTCTCAGCTTGGCGGTTCTGCTGCAGGTGTCTCATGACCCAACTAGGAAACATCATCGGGGCTAGCAGAAAATGAGGAGGAAGAGGAGACCGAGAGATACTAAAGAGCATCAAGACAGGGCAAGCTTTAGTTTCTTTCTCGCACTTTCCTGTTTTCTGCAAACTGATGATGTTACCTAGTTTGGTCATGAAACATCTGCAAGGAAACCTCTAAAGTCAGGGAGCACCAAGGACCCCACTCTTTCCTCTTCCTCCTGCTCGTCCTTCTCCTCCCTCCTCCTGCTGTTTACGAATCCCGCTCCCTTCTAGCACTGGTGATGTTACCTAGCTGGGTAATAAAATGTCTGTAAGAAAACCCACCCCGTTCAGAGTGCATCTGTTCAGGCATGAATGATGGGTTTGGGGTTCCCCTGCCATCCACTTTCAGCTTTGCTGTTCACCAACACAATTGTTGGTTAACAGCAGGGGAAACGCAATCACACCTAGTCCAGTCTTTGCACAACTGTAAGACACCAGCAGGAATCTCTATTGGTATCCCTGGCCCTGCGCTTCCTAGAACAAAAAACAGATTTTTATTTTATTTTTATCCCAAGCTGTAGACAACACAAGGGATGTCAGCTTCCTTAGGAAGGCAGTTTTCATTTTCTTTCTGCAAGTGCATTTTTGCATTAATGTGTGTCTCGTGGCCTGGCAGAGCTGTGTCTTTTCAGCACCGAGCATCTCTGCTTAATGAAAGGCGGAAGGTCTGGTTCGGAGAGGCAACGAGTGTTGACAAAAAGAAAAAGAAACGGAATCATTCTCTGGTCTCGACAACTGCTGCAATTGTGAATCTTAGCTGACAGCCCCAGCACTGGGTTTAGATCTCCCTACGTTCTGGGGAATGTGTGTCTCTCTGCGTGTGTATGTATCTTCTTTCTTTCTTTCTTTCTTTCTTTCTTTCTTTCTTTCTTTCTTTC